CTGCCATCCCAGCTACTCGGGAGGCTGAGGCAGGAGAATCGCTTGAACCTGGGAGGCAGAGACAGACTCATCTCAAAGAAAAAAAAAAAAAAAAAAAAAGAGTTCTGCCTTTGGAATCGATCCTTCTTTTTCCCTCATTAACCCTAACAATATGTTCTGAGTTCCTAAAGAGGATAAGGTAGTTATTGTCACTGTTACCCCTGGGGTCACACACCAGCACCCCACCTCATGGGAAGTGAGGCCAGGAAGGTACTGACTTGGCAGGACAGGGCCAGTGTATGAGAAGCAAGGACCCAGGCCCTAGAAGCTCCCTTTCTAGCCATTCCCCACAGCTTCCTGATGTTTCCCTGTGATCCCAATGCAGAGGCAGGGCTGCCTCACTGAAGGTGCCGTGGCCACGGCTTCCGTCTTCCCTGTAGCCCACAGCCCAGCACTCGGCACACTCATTTGTGCACAGACATCTGCAGAGCCTGTGCCTGGAGCCCCAGTGCCCACCTGCACTCTGTGCTCCCATAACCCTGGAGACTCGCAGCCTCCCCAGCAGAGCCCACTGCTTCCCACTGCCATGCCCGGGGCACCTGGTCCCTCCCAGCCCACTCTTGTGCCCCCACCTATCAGTCAACCCGCTTTAAAGCCTCATCGCCTCCCTGGGGCCGCTCCCGACTAGCCCTCACACCCAGGACGCTGGCCGCACCTCCTGCGGCCCCACGGCCTCCTCTGCCTCGCTCTTTTATGTGTCTTTCACCTTCCACTGTGCAGGACTCACCCTGCCGTCAGGGATGAAGGATTTTTCATCTTTGCGTCCCAACCCCTCCCACAGTGCCAGGCACAACGTAAGTACTCAGTGAGTGGTGAGCAAGCGCACTGCAAAGTCTAAATGTTAAGCTAACTTGGAAGAAGTGTTTTTGTGGTCAGAGCCCACCACCCCAGAAGGATCTGCCTGGCAGGAGCAGCAAGGAGCCTTGTCCCATGGAAAGAAGCCACTGGAGGCCGCGCCCACCACCTGGCCCCTGCCGCTGGACCCACTGAGCGGCACCCGGAAGATCACAGGCATCAGTGGACCTCATCGGGAATGCAACTGCAGTGTGCAAACACCAAGAGGCGCCTCAAGTTGCTCCCCACCCCATGGGAGGGAGAGGGGTGTGCCCAGGACTCACCAGAGACACAGATGCATCTCCACTAAAGACGACGCCTAGCATGGTGCAAAAGGGGCACCTGGGAAGGCAGTAGGGGAGCGTGGGCCTGATCTCGGCTTCCAGCTTCCAGAACTGTGAGCAGTAACTAGCTGCCGTTCCAGCCTCCCCGGCCAGGGTCATCTGTTATGGCAGCCGGGGCTGACTGAGACACCGCCCAGCCCTACCGAGACAAGCCCTGGGGCGGGGCCCTGCAGCCTTCTGCAAGCTCCCCAGGGACTCCTGTGTGCACTGCAACTTCAGAGGCACTGGCTGAGACACTGCTACCCTCCCTGGGAATGTGAGGGCTGCACCTCTTCACAAGGCTTTGCCCAGGCAGGCCAAGGGCTGAAGGTCCCCACCCGCCTCGCCCCGGTGGGCTGCGCTCCACAGGCCAGCCGGGTGGCCCCAGGATAAAGGGCACACAGCTCACCTGGCAGGAGAACCAGCCTTCCGGTGTGCAGAGACGGCCGCCGCCCTTGGCTCCTCTGTCGAAGTAGCTGCCATTGTACTGCACGGACCGGAGCTTCTGACACATGGAGCCGAGGACCCGCAGGAATTCCTCCTGAGCCTCCGCACCCACCAAGGAGGGGTAGGAGCTCACCTGGGGGAACCAAGCAACATCGCTGAGCCTGGTGCACAGTGCCCCAAAACCCGCACTGAGTCTCGATCCATCCCACTCCACGGCCCTCTGAGACCCTGCCCAAGCCCAGTCCTGTGGTCAGAGGGTCTGAGTTCACATGGCCTTTCGGCCACTGCTGGGCTGTCTCACCCTGGGAGACTCTGACCTGTGAAATGGAGGGAACCACGCCAGCCCCCAGGCTGGGTGAGACTTAGATGAGACAACGGGCTGGGTGTGGTGGCTCACATTTGTAATCCCCACACTCTGGGAGGCGGATCACTTGAGGTCAGGAGTTTGAGACCAGCCTGACCAACATGGTGAAACCCCATTTCTACTAGAAATACAAAATATTAGCGGGGCACATTAATGCCAGCTACTTGGGAGGCTGAGGCAGGAGGATCGCTTGAACCTGGAAGGCAGAGGTTGCAGTGAGCTGAGATTGCATCACTGTACTCCAGCCTGAGCAACAGAGTGAGACTCCGTCTCAAAAAAGAAGATGAGCTAACAAAGTCAGGCAGGCACGGCCGTCCCACCCTGGTCAGGCGGGGTGAAGAGTATCAGGATCAGTTAGCTCCGCTACAGGAGCTGGGAAATGCACGGGAACATGGCCAGTCGCCAGGACCTCGAGGAGATGCAGAAAAACATAGGGAGTGCAGAGCAGCGTTAGCAACTGTGCCACAGAGAGGGGTGGACTGAGGGCACAGGGGCCGACCACGCAGGGCAGCACTGGGACAGGACGCCCATTACAGGGGCCTCCACAGCACCCTCCTCGTGCTAATGATGCAGTGTGGCATGGTGTGGCGTGGCATGGTGTGACATGACGGGGTGTGGCATGATGGGGTGTGACCTGGTGTGGTGTGGTATGGGGTAGTGTGACGTGTCATGCTATGTGATGAGGAAATCCACATTCAGATGGGGTGGATGGAAATGAGGGCAGAGCTGACTCCACCTTTGGGAGGGAGGAGGGAGAGGCGGAGAGGTTTGCAGACCAAGGATGGGCTCATGAGAAGGGCCTCAGCTCCCTGCTAGCGCCTGCTGACCTTGGTCACAGTTGGGCAAATGACAACTCAGGCTCTGGGCATCCTCTCCCCTGTCTGCCCTGACGCTTGCCACTGCTGCCCAGGAAGAAGCCTCGTGGGGAGAGGAGGGGAGGTAGGCAGGAGCACCACCGCCCCGCTCCCCAACCCCAGTGACCTCAAACACAGCTAAAAAGGCCCAGTGGGTGCTCACTGTCATGAAGAGGGAGGCACAGCGTCCATGCGCTAGCTTCCCTCACCAGAGCAGCCCCACCAGATCCATGCAAGCACAGAGTGTGGTCCTACCAACTGCCCATTGTGAGGACCACAAGCTTCCAGAGCCCACAGAGCTTGGCTTCAAAAACCCTCGAGCATACCCGGCCTTCACACAGGCTCACCTCTCTCAGGTAACTCCGGATCCGGCTCTCACAGCTGTATCTCAGATAGCCAGACTTATTCTGAAATCGGGACTCCAAGCCTGCAAGGAAAATGAGAAGACCCCCAAGTCCACAGGGCAGGCCAAGGGCCTCTAGGTCTGTGTCCCACCCAGCTCAGGTGCCAAGCAGGGCAGAATATGAGGGTCATACTGCCTCAGCTTTTTGACAGGGTCTCACTCTGTCCTCCAGGCTGGAGTACAGTGGCATGAACACAGCTTACTACAGCCTTGACCTCCTGGGCTCGGGGAATCCTCCTGCCTCAGACTCCCAAGTAGCTAGGACTACAGGCACGCGCCACCACAGCTAGCTAACTTTTTACATCTTTCTAGAGATGAGGTCTCACTTTGTTACCTAGGGTGATCTTGAACTCCAGGGCTCAAGCTGTCTTCCAGGCTCAGCCTCCCAAAGTGCTAGGATTATAGGCGTGAGCAACCCCACCCAGCCAGATTGCATCATCTTGAGAAGTATTCTGATGGTGACACAGACAGCGTCCCTGTTTGGTTTTTGTTTTTAGAAGCATCTCAAATATCACCAAGGAGCTTCTGCCTGGCCCTCAAGCCCTCCTTTCCCAAAAAGGCTACAATCTCTCAGCATTGCCTCTGATGGGCTTACAACGCCAGGCCAAAAGCTGGAAGCAACCCAAGTGTCAGGGAATAGAGACTGTGGTATGTACACACAGTGGACTGAATGGACAGAGCAGGGTATGTACATGCAGTGGAGTGAATAGACAGAGCGGGGTATGTACGTGCAGTGGAGTGAATAGACAGAGCGGGGTATGTAC